AAAACGTATTCGGGCCCGAAAAAGAAAGTACAAATCAGGCTAGACAAGAACACCGTACGTTCATTCCCTCGTTAGTAAAATCTCGATACGGGAGGTACAGGTGGCTATGTATTGCGCGTAAAAGTTTATATTTTCCGTTAGCCATTAGTGTTAAGTGCAATTTTCATTCTGGTCGCGGTCGCGTATTATTATTATTTTGCTTGTGATTTATGTACATCCTGCGTATGCGTTAGCTCTAAGCAGCGGTACTAGCTATAAGTTTATACATCCTGCGTATGCGTTAGTCTCTAAGCAGCGGTACTAGTTTTAAGTCTTGGCGATACATCCTGCGTATGCGTTAGTCTATAAGTAGCGGTATTGTCAAATGTGTTCATACACCCTGCATAAATAAGCAGTGGTAATATTATAACAGTCTGTAATTTCTGTGATACATCCTGCGTATACACTCTAGTTCTAAGCAGCGGTATTACATGTATGCCTGCAATATTCTTTGTGATATTCGGCAGCGCCGATTATTTGTGATAGACACACAGTGTCATACCAAATTATTTTTTTTCTTTCTCTCCAGCGTTAGCACTCGGGGGGGAGTGTGTGGCGACTTGCAGTTGCCCATCTATACGACGACACAGTCTATGGTCGTTGGTGGCGCTGTTCGAGCGGGAACAGAATATGTTAGTCGTTACTCGCCTGTGTCACGGTTAAGACCGATCACCTTACCGTGAACCGAGATCTCAATAAAGTCTCTTATATCTCATATATCTAGTGAGTGAGTTCTTTCCCGCCTTAGCAACCAGCTATCGGCAAGGAAGTATTGTGGGCACTTCAGCCGGGCTGTAAATACATCGACTAGGCCCCACATCAGGGCTGTTGCAGGCAAGTTGAAAACTTGTTCCACTCACGGACATCACGCGGAGAAAAATAATTTGCTAGCACAGTATACCATATGTAAATTTAAGTAAATTTTGTCTGTTATTTAATAATAAAGTTATTTTCTCGTTTATGGTCAACTCTGTGTTAAGAACACTAATTTTATTGAAAAATAATTGTGCGAAATATTTAGCTAAAGAAATAAAAGAATTTCTGTTCAGTCAAACGTTCTGCTGTAATGATGAATAATTTTAATAATGTATAATAAAGAGATTTTCGTATCGCCATCACATTCTTATCAAATACATATGCAGTATTCAAGTAGCAGCAACAATTTCGCTGCAACAGCAAAATTATTTTTTTCCGTGCGTATCATAGAAAGTATATAATTATAAAATAATGTGTGGTGTTAAAATAATAAACAAAAAGTAAACATAAAAATAAAGAATGTTTTCTTACACGGAAAAGAAAGATTAGCTACCATATAATAACAGCTAACATTTTTGCGTAATAAAGTAATAGCTCTCGCTGCAAAAATGTTAGCTGTTAGTAAGAAAATTAGTCGTAAGAAAATTCACCAATCACAATCTATTATTCTTTGATCACTACACAAGCAGAATAAGGTTGGATTCACATGGAGCGTAATTTGCGTAGCGTAACCTGCGTATCACCAATCACAGGGTCATTCTGATAGAACCGTTTCAATAATTCCGTTGAAATAGTTCTGTGATTGGTGATACGCAGGTTACGCTTACGCAAGTTACGCTCCATGTGAATCCAGCATAATTTTTTGGAAGATTTTAAAGCGCGAAAAGAATCGATTCTAACCTTAAAAAATCGATTCTCTCGAAAATCGGACGTTACAAAATCGATATAAAAAATCGATTTTTCTTACGGAAAAAATCGATTTTTTTAACATCGATTCGGAATCGCACATCCCTATGAGGACTAGCTGCTCAATGCCAGTTTGAGGAGAGGTGGTGTTTTCCTGGCGGATGAACGCCTTGAGAGAGGTGGAAATCGGAGGAACGCCGTTATGAAGGCGCTCAACTGAAGGAGGAAAATCGGAGGAACGCCGTTATTTGGGCGCGCAATCGGAGGTGGAAATCGGAGGAACGCCGTTATGAAGGCGCTCAACCGAAGGAGGAAAATCGGAGGAACACCGTTATTTGGGCGCGCAACCGAAGGAGGAAAATCGGAGGAACGCCGTTATGAAGGCG